TCAATGCTTCCTGGGGACAAGGAATGGCCACAGTGAGCCCAGGTCGGGCCCGCGGTGCTCGGTGACACTGCTGTCACTCGCCTCTGGCCCATTTTCCCGTTTCTGAAGAAGGGCTGAGGACCCAGCAATGCAGCTTCCGCAGAGATTTTTACCAAAGGAGGCGACACTGTCTCACGTAAGCCTCCGTCTCCCAGACCAGCTGTCCACCCAACCCCTGCACCCCAGGGGCAATGCAGAGCTCCAGGGTTCAGGCGTAGCGGACGTGGCTGATTCCAAACCCCCTCGGGAGCCCTGTGGCCCTGGGCAAAGTGGGCTCCATTCGGAACCGTCACTGTCTATGAAAAGGAAGGGACACCCTGCAAGGAGGAAGCCCCGGGACGGGACGGGGGCTGCACAAGTCTGGGGCACGGCTGGCGGGCGGCAACGGCAGCTCACCTGCACCGAGCCTCGGGGAGGGCGCCCACTGCGCCCACACACCCTGGGCTGTCTGCCTGACTACCCCCCCCACACTCACCCAGACACCTCACAAAGCAGACTCCTTCCTCTGTCGATGAGGAATCTCAGGCTGAGAGAGTTTAGGTGAGTCGCCCAAGGCCCTACTGAGATACAAATAGCTGTCTGGCCTCAGCGTCCCCCCTCCTCCCCGACACGAGGAGGAGAAGGCAGGAAGCTCCCCGAGATCCCACCAGGCACCCAGCTGCAGAGCTCACCCTCCTTCCAGGGAGTGACGAGGAGAGTGCACGGAGGCAGAGGGAGGTCACCGCAGGGCAGAGGGGAACTGCTCCGTCTGGAGGTTCAGGACCTCAGGAAGGCCTGGGGGGAGGAGATCCTCAGCCTCTGAGCCAAGAGACTAGAGAGACTCTCAAAGCACCGGGTGAGTGGGAGAGTGACAGAGCAGAGGATGCCCACCTCTCTTACTTCCCACACAGACTGATCTGAACGTCAACTGAGAAAGCGTCCTGGAGACACAGTCTTCTCGTTTTCACTATGTCTCTTCAAAGTACCACATGAGATGCTCAGCAAACCCTCACTGAAGGATGGACACATGGGCACAGGGATGAAGAGAATGGAAGAACAGAGAGATGGATGGAAGGATGGACGGACAAATGAATAGATGGATGGATGGATGCATGGAGAAAGATGGATGGATGGATGGAGAAGAATGGATGGATGGATGGAGAAGGATGGATGGGTGGGAGGATGGATAGACAGACAGATGAATGGATGGATGGAAAGGTGGATGGATGATTGAACAGATAGAAGAAAGGATAGAAGGATAGAGATGATTAATGGGAGGGTGAACGAAAGGAAGGATGGATGAAGAATGATTCCATGGATGGTTGGATGCATGAATGGAAGAATGGATGGACAGATGGATGATTGGATGGTTGGATGGATGGATGGGTGGATGTGAGGATGGATGGATGGATGGGAGGATGGATGGATGGATGGGAGGATGGATGGATGGATAGGATGGATGGGAGGATGGATGGATGGATAGGAGGATGGATGGATGGATGGGTGAGTGAGTGAGTACAGGAAGGAAGGAATGCTATATCTTGAAGATTTAGTTGATGAACTTTAATTTCCCAAAGATTTTAGATGCCTACTCTTCTCCCGACCACTCCCCTGCCCTGGGTGGCCCTCCTCTCCCTTCTGGGCCAGAGGTGAAGGCCGGTGCAATGCCTGTGTCTTATTCCACAGCAGAAGCAAAGTGCATTCTGGCCCCACGCCTCAGCGAAGGGCCTGCCTGGGGGTCACCTGTGGTGTGTGCTCGATGGCCCAGATGTGCTCAGTGTTCCAGGCCCTCCAGGGAGTGAGGCAGTGCAGAAGGGACCCCAGGCCCTGCCGCCCAGCCCCCACCACCGCAGGGGGCTGGGAAAAGGTGCCAGATCTGGGAACTGAAACCACTGTTGACCATCCCTCTTCATCCTCTCCCAGCCTGACAACTCTCCTTTCCTGGCCCAAAAGTTAAGAGCTCCGAGCAGCTTTTGATGGATGCTGGTGGGAAATTTTATGGCGAAATTTCAGCGGGTGGGGGCGCCACCTGCTTATGAACACAATGTCACCAAGGAGGGGCCTCCAGGAGGCAATTCCCTCATCCATGCATTCAGACATGGGACTTGGTCTGAAACTTGCTCCCCGGGCTGTGACCATTCGTCTTCCCCTTCTCGTCGAGGCTGACCCTAGTGTCCGGACACCCGGCACCCCCACATCAGCTCACTGTGAGCCCAGATGCCGGCCGTGTCTCTGCTGGGTTCCAACCACCCAGCCAGAGGCACCTACGATCCAGCCTGGCCACCCCTCCAAACACACGCCGGTACTTGGAAGTAAGTCACACTGCCCACGGGGCTCGCACGGGGGACAGGTGACTGCAGAGCACCTGGGAAGGAGCCACGCAGCAGGGGATGGGAGGGGCTGACAGAGCCCCACTGGGTGGTCTGGGGCCACGTGAGGAGCCTCGTGGTCCGGGCCCGGGCGCTCCAGCACCCGGCAGGGCAACACCGGGATGTCCCGGCGGGTGGAGCTGGGCCACGGAGAGGAGGCTCGTTCCCGCAGCCAGCAGGAAGACAGGTGACACTAAGGCTCTACTCTGAGAACTGGGAGGAAATGTCACAGCCGAGGAACAAGAGGAACCTTCCACCTGACCCCTGAGAAGTAAGGATGTGTCCGGCTTCTCCCTGCATCCACGCGGCACCTCCTTCCTCTTGCCATCCCTGCTTCCCTCTGTTTTTACGAAAACACACGAACATGTATGTCCCTCTCCCCTGCCATCCGTCAAGGAGCAGAACAGATGTGGCCGTGGTCATCAGTCCCGCATCCAGCTGCCGAAGACGGCGCAGGGCAGAGCGGGCGGGCGCTAGCAGGGGCCGGCCCCAGAGCCGAGCCCGCTGGCGTGACGGGGAACCAGGTGATTCGGGCAGCTCCCTTGAGATAACGGATCACCTCGTTCTGCAGAAGAGAGTGGGGACGGCACCAGGCACCAGACTCCGCGCGCTGGGGTTGCCGGCTTGGGCGGGGAGGCTCCGCACGGCCCCACCTGCTCCCAGGAGGCCCGGGGGTAGGGATGGCGCCGTGAGGCCAGCTGGGGTCACACTGGCAGAGGGCCCTCTGCATCCAGGGCCTCGCCCAGGCCCGGCACCCAGGGAGCTGAGCTAGGGAGCGAGGCGGGCCAATCACAAAACAGCCCCAGCTGCCATCAGACCCCCAGGCGGCACCTGGAAAGGGGCCGGCAGCACCAGCCACTGAGCCGGCCGGGCTGCCCGGGCTCCGTCCACCCAGCAAGGCTCTACAAGGCCTGCGGCACCCCGCGCGGCGCAGGCCACGCCGCTTCTGACTCACCGCCGTCCCTGCGAG